TTCCCCCTCAGGAAGTTGCACCCGATCATACAATTAAGTTGGATAGGGTAGGAGCTGATATCCCTATTGTGAGAAGGCATGGTAGCAGTTTCCGCCGTTTGACTCTGATGGGATCTGATGGCTCTCAGCGTCATTTTATAGTACAGACATCATTGACTCCAAATGCTAGAAGTGATGAAAGAATGTTGCAACTCTTTCGTGTAATGAACTGGATGTTTGACAAGCACAAGGAATCCAGGCGTCGTCACATTTGCATCCACACCCCCATTATTATTCCCGTATGGTCTCAGGTAATTAAGAAATCACAAGGAGTCTGGTATTGCATTTTCAAAAAGCTTTCTTAAATTATTTGCCATGCAAATTCATTATTGCCCGAAATTAACCCTTCTCATTTTTTTCCCCTTTCTGTGTTCTATGCTTGAATTCTTGGAACTGTTATATAGGTCCGTATGGTTGAAGACGATCTCATGTACAGCACCTTCTTGGAGGTATACGAGAACCACTGTGCAAGAAATGACCGAGAAGCAGACTTGCCGATTACTTACTTCAAAGAGCAACTGAACCAGGCTATTTGCGGCCAAATATCTCCCGAGGCTGTGGTGGATCTTCGCCTGCAGGCATACAGTGATATCACGAAAAACATCGTGACAGAGAGCATTTTCTCACAGTTCATGTATAAGACCTTGTTGAACGGAAACCACACGTGGGCCTTCAAGAAGCAATTCGCCGTCCAGCTGGCGCTCTCTAGCTTCATGTCCTTCATGCTGCAAATCGGGGGCAGGTCCCCCAACAAGATCCTGTTTGCCAAGAACACAGGAAGAATATTCCAGACTGACTTCCATCCCACTTACGATTCGAATGGGATGATTGAGTTTAATGAGCCTGTGCCTTTTCGGCTGACGAGGAACCTACAGGCATTTTTCTCTCACTTTGGTGTCGAGGGTTTGATTGTCTCGGCAATGTGTGCAGCTGCACAGGCTGTGGTTGCACCCAAGGTCAGTCAAAACACATTATTGGCACGTTGGCCTTGTCTGTTATTTTTTTTTAAATAAAAAAAAATCTTGCTTATTTTTTTATTTGTTTTATTGGAAATGTTCATCTTCATTTTTCATTTTTCTCGTGTAAATCAAGTTGGACACAGGTATCTACTTAAAAAAAATTGAACTAGTTTTGTGTTATATATTCAAATTAAAGATAACAAAATATCCCACATCTGAACTACTTTTTAGAATTTTTACAACATAACACGCTTGAAAAAGATGATCCTCCTAGAGTAGTAGTTCCATTTTTCGTTTGAACACCGTAAATTATCAATATTTATTTTCAACTTCAAGACCCTGGAAATTTGACATGAAAAAGGAAAAAAAGAAAAAAAAAAAAACCATAAAAGTCCATTATTTTTTCGTAACTGGGCAGAAGTAAAACATTTGTGGAATTTCTCCTTTTGCAGCAAAGTCATCATCTGTGGCATCATCTGGCCATGTTCTTCCGTGATGAGCTAATATCTTGGTCATGGAGAAGGCCACCTGGGATGCCTATGGCCCCTATAGGAGGCTCTATTTTGAACAACGTTGACCTCAAACAGAAAGTCAACACAAATGTCGAGCAAGTCATTGGCCGCATTAGTGGAATAGCACCACAGTACATTTCTGAAGAGGTAACTGCAGTTTTTATTTTCTTATTTGGATGGGATGTGTTTATACAAAGAAAGCATCTGTTAATATTGATATAAAGGGCAGTTGATCCATATTTTTGAATATGGTGCTGTTTTGGTAGGAGGAAAATGGTGTGGACCCACCACAGTCGGTGCAGAAGGGTGTTGCTGAGCTGGTGGAAGCTGCTCTCACTCCCAGAAACTTGTGCATGATGGATCCTACGTGGCACCCATGGTTTTAGTTTAGTGTATTACATACAACTACAATTTATGTATAGTAATGAGCATGCAATTTGTGGATAAGTGGTTTGTAGGCATCAAATTAAATCTGCAGCTGTGACTGTCTTTAGGCAGCTTTAGTGATCTTACTAGGTTTTGGAAAACAAAGGTGCATGTACATTTGTGCAGTTGTGCTGCTGCTGCTGCTCCTACTCCTACTCCTACTCCTACTACTAGTATTATTAGTTTATTATTATTATTATTATTATTATTATTGTTATTGTTATTATTATTATTATTTTAAATACATTTGAAATTTGAGATCGCAAAAATTGCTCTAAACATAAAGTTCCAAGAGAGTATTTCCTTATCCGGATTAATCTTAGTGTAAGTATATATCTTTTAATCTTTTGTTTGACCGATTCCCACCTTGAACATAACTACATATCACATTTGAAAACATAAGTTTTAATTAAAATATAAGTTTTTTTTTTTTTCTTCAATTGATAGAACTCACTAAAAGAACTAAATGCAGTGTCCAAATTCAAACCGGAGGTCAGTAGCCCCCATACAAGTCGAGATGAAATGAGAGAATGACACAGAAGTATGTGGCCTAAAACACGTCACCACTAATAACCGAAGGCAGTACATGAAGACTGAATCTTTCAGCTATTACAACTAACTTGCAACCCAATGCGGAGGAAGATGTGTCGAGCTTTGGAGGAAATGAAGCTCCGAGGGACCAAGCCTTCGAGAGGATGGCCGACCAACTCTTGGAAACTCGCCTCGCATTGTGAACTCCAATAAAACTTCACTACTTTCCTCGTCAAATGGGTTAACGGTTGGGCTATCTTTGAAAAACCCTTGATAAACCTTTGGTAGTATCCAGCTAACCCCTGAACTACGTTCTTCGGAACCTCTCAGTTACTCACAGCTTCTATCTTGGCCAGATCCACTTCCATCCCCTTGACGGTGTTGGTGTATATACTGAAATTTGCTTTAGATGTATTTACATTGACCCCGTTTGAGTGAGAATCATGTTTAATTAAACAGTCTATGTTATGTTGTTTTGCATTTAAAAAGAATGAGTCGTCATCGCGCAAACAGAAGATCTTTCTATCAGTTACTTGCGAAACAAGAATTGTGGTTCACATCCTAGATGGAAATGAACACCCCATCCGAACGGTTGTAGTGTTAACCGTACAATTGGTCTTGACTGATTAGTTTCACCAGTACACTTTGTGTATTGAACGGATCCTAGAGAGAAGTTCGTTTTATACTGATCATCTTAAACGAATTAGACCTCGGTTAATTACTGCGTACTCTTAACTCGTAAGATATAAATAGGCATGTGCATGCAATTACTATTACTTTAATTCACTTGGGTGAGATTTAGTTTACTGGATCAACATACTTATTGTTTTGGGTAATATTATTTTATGTACGATGTGCTGTTAGAATATTTACGGCCACTGTGTACGTTAGTTTGATGATGTCTCCGAGATGAGCTCATAAAGGATTATTATGTTAAATCTGGCGTCAGTGGACCGACATAATAATAATGTGATGAGTGGTACTAGTCTCGGTTATAGATGTTGATTAATTTAATTGTCAGTAATTGAGGGCTTTCTCATTGTCGAGGGTGGAGAATCGAATTATTGATTTAGGGAATGAAGATGTTAAGGCCAGCGTAGAGGAATGCCCTAAGAGCATCTTCGGGAAACTGGTGGGAGAAAAGCGCGGACACTTGTTGGGGGTGAAGAGAGCAATGAGGATTATCTGGAAACCTAAGTCACCAATGGAGGTTCGTGAGCTTGGTAAGAACTTTTTCCAATTTATATTTGAGAATGAGGAGGACATAAAAATATTAGCCAGGGGTACAAATTGGGTGTTTCACAACCAGTACCTAATATTGAAAGGTTGGAAAGCAGGGCTGCACAATAATGATAAATACTTTAATGAACTAAGAATGTGGGTACAGGTCCATCATGTTCCATTGAATTGGCTCACTTCTGAAGTAGGGTTGAAAATAGGGAAGGTTTTTAAGGCAGTATCTAATGTCTTAGTTCGCAACCTGGGAAGTGCAGTGGATATATGTCAGCTACCAGAGGTATTAAACAGGGGGACCCTTTGTCCCCCTATTTATTCATCATCATCTCTGAACTGTTATCTACTAAGACCAAGTCTGAATCTGATAAAGGTAGATTCAGAGGGTTGAGGATTGCAAGAGGGAGTCCCACACTCACTCAACTCATGTTTGCAGATGACACATTGCTGTTTTGTAAAGCAGATGAGGACCAGACTGTTTTGATTGTGGAAATTTTGAATGCATTCCAGGATTTTGCAGGACAACAGGTTAACATGAGCAAATCCACTGTCTTCTTTACTAAAAATGCTCTAATGGAAGTTCAGGACAGTGTTTGTGCCATCCTGACAGGTATCACTAAGAACTCCTCCACTAGGTATTGACAAGTCAAAAAAGGATGCATTTGAGTACAATGTCAGTGTGGTAAGAAATATAATTTTTATCTGGAAAAACAAATAATTATCATCTGCAGGTAAAAAGGTGTTAATTAAAGTTGTTCTGAATGCTCTACCAGTCTTTGCCATGTCTTGCTTTGTATTTCCTATAGGACTGTGCAGAAAGATTTCTAGCTTATGTAGGCAGTTTTGGTGGAGTAAGGGACTGACTTTCAGAGAGGATTACACTAGATATATTGGAACAGGTTGGCAGTTGCTAATGCTCATGGTGGGTTGGGCTTTCAAGATGTTCAGCTATTTAATGTAGCTCTCATTTCCAAGCAATTGTGGAAGTTAGTGAAAGAGCCAGAGAGATTAGTGAGCAAAGTTCTTAAATCCAAATATTTTCCTAATACTACTCTATTTGAAGCTCAGAGGAAGCAAAATGCTTCCTGGCTTTGGAACACCTGGCTTTCTGTGCTTGAGGTCTGTGGCAATTGGATGAAAAGGTAGGTGAAAAATGACCATAGTATCAGAGTATGGGATCAACATTGGATACCAAATCAAGTAGGAAAACAAGTTGACCTGCTGGCAGGGATGGATAGGAGGATTGTATGGGTCAAAGACTTAATGACAGAAAATGGTTGCAGGTGGGATGAGGCAAAGCTGAGAGCAACATTCCCCCATGACTTGTGCAGTTCAATTCTCAGTATAGATACCATTGATCCCTCTCAGGAAGATACTTGGGAATGGACTGTAAACAAGAAAGGTATGTTCTCTGTTAACTCTACTTATGCTCATTTGATTTATGAATCGAAAAATGAATTTCGAAAATTTTATTTTTGGAAAAGCCATGGATTTTCTTTAAAATCAAAGTGGGGTGTTACAGTTTGGTATCAGAGCCAGTCTGCGTTTTTGTAGACTGGATTATGTGCGATCAACTTGTTTATGTGATTAAGTGTCTAGACCTTGTGTATTGACCACTCGTCTTCGTCACGCCGCACTGCTTAAAGGTCTAAGTATCAATGAAAATACTTATAATGTGAAATATGAATTTTATATTTTTACATAAGTAGCAATGAAACTGCTTATGATGTGACTTGTTGATATTTAGGGCTTAGGATCTATCCACCTTTGATTTATTTGAACTCTAGTGCTTCATGGCGAACTCTAGACTTCCCTTATTATTTAATGTGCTAAATTTATTCGGTCTATTCAATGTAGAACTATGGCTTATCGCAACACCTGCAACGCTCGCAACAACCGACAGCCATCCCCGCCCCCATCTCCGCCTCCATCTCCACCTCACCAGCAGGCCCCTTCGAACATGGACTTTTCGAGGCTCCTAGTCCAATTCCAGGGCATGCATGCACCCACCTTTTCGGGGACTGAGAACCCCACCGCGGTGCTTGAGTGGATGAAGGAGCTGGACAAGATCTTTGCTGTGCTCCCTCTCCAGGATAGACAACGCGTATCTCTCACCGCTTTCTAGATGAAGGCGGATGCATCCGACTGGTGGATTGACCACTGGGCTCGGAGGCCAGAGGCTGAGCTTAACGCTCTCACCTGGGATCAAATGAAGGTAATGGTCTGAGGCAAGTTCCTCCCACAGAGCTTTTGTGACCGAATGGAGCATGACTTCTATCATCTGCAGCAGGGCAACTCTAGCGTGGATGAGTACATACGCACTTTCACCAGAATGGGCATCTTTGCCGGTGACACCGTGAACACTGATGAGAAGAAGGCCAGTAAATTTTTGAAGGGGCTGAATCAGAGGATCCGTGAGTTGGTTGGGAGTCACGGTCTGATGTCCTATGCCGACACTGTGAGTCGGGCTCAGGAAGTGGAGAGCTGTCTCATTCCGATAGCTCCAATTCCCTCGTACTACCATGCTGCTCAACCTGTCCAGGCTGTACCCCTAGTCATTCCTCCACTATCCTATCAGCCGCCGCTCATCCCTCAGACGGCTTATCAGTATTCGGTTCCATATGCTTCAGTTCCCCCGTCCTCTAGTTCCAATAAGAGGAAGAGTGACCACCAGCACAAGAAGAAAGGAAAACGAGGAGCCCCAGACCGACGCAATTCTGGCAACCGCACCTGCAGGAAGTGCGGCAAGTACCACACCGGCGAGTGTTTGGCAGATCAGCAGGCTTGTTACAACTGCCATCGCCCCGACCACTACGCCAATGTCTGCCCCGAGCTTAAGAGGCAGCAGCAGCAGCCCTTCCCCCATCAGCATCAGCAGCAGCTTCCCCCGTCGCCACCTCAACAACAGCAGCCCAGAAAGCCCCCGCCTTACCATTAGAGGACAGGAAGCCAGGCCCGTGTCTACACCATTTCCCACGACGAGCCCGCCAACAACGCAGGTACCATGTCTGGAATGCTTTCGATATCTAATGTGCCTGTTTTTGCATTATGTGACACGGTAGCAACTCATTCATTTATCTCCTCTCGATGCCTTGAGACTTTATCTGTTAGCAATGTGTGTAAAGACGATCATCTCGAGGTTAGCCTAGCCTCGGGAAAAATTATTATCTCCGATTCCTTGGTTCGTGATCTTCATATTAATATCGGTGGACGAGTTCTGGATGCCGACGCTTATGTCATTGAAATGCGAGACTTCGACGTGATCTTGGGCATGGAATGGCTCACTCGTTATCGAGCCGACATCCGGTGCCAGGAGCATGAGGTCACTCTCTTTCCCGATCCTGATCAACCCGTTGTGTTCTTTGGGGTGAAGTCGAGGACTGTGCCTCGATTCATCTCATCTATTCAAGCTAGGAAGAGCCTGCGGCCATCCACCAGGCGGCCGCAAAAGGAGTACTGCTGCTACACCTGCACGCGCCCGAGGGTCTCGCGCACCGCCAACGCTTGTCCGCCTGTCCGCGTGAACCAGCCAGCGCCCGACACGCTCAGTCCGCGACACCCTACCAATCATGACACACCACCACCGAGCCCAGCCGTGACCAGTTGCTCCCAGCTGAGGTCCGACCGAGCCCAGCCGCGACCCGACCAAGCTGAACCACTTTCGACTGGCCCGAGCCTGACGAGCCTTGACTGGAAGATCCGTTCGTGATCCAATGACTCGATCAGACTTGGCAAGATGTGCTAGTTCCGGAGTTCGAGCGACTACAGTTAGAGGTAGTGGAGTCGACTTCGACGGCCGGTGGTATGCTGACCGCTTTGGTTGTGGGACCGACTCTTCGTGAGAGGATAGTCGCCGAGCAGCCGAACGATCGTTTTCTGTGCCAGATGAAGGAGTTGATGGAAGCCTGTAGAGTTGGATGATTCGCGGTCCCATCTAATGGAGCATTGGTCTTCGAGGGTAGACTATGTGTTCCGAAGGTGTGGGAACTGCGAAAAGAGATTCTGAGAGAAGCTCATAGTGCTCCGTACACCATCCATCCTGGTAGCTCGAAGATGTACCAGGACCTCAGAAAGTCATTTTGGTGGCGAGGTATGAAGAGGCAGGTAGTCCGATTCGTGAACGATTGTCTAGTTTGTCAGCAAGTGAAGGCTGAGCACCAGAAATGGAGAGGGCTGTTGAAGCCACTTGAGATTCCCATGTGGAAATGGGAACGACTCACCATGGAATTCTTGGTGGGATTGCCGAGATCGAGGTCTGGTCACGACTCTATTTGGGTGATTGTGGATCGACTCACGAAGTCCGCCCACGTTTTGCCCGTCCGAACGACTATGAAGGCTAGTGCGTATGCCGAGTTGTTCGTTGACAAGATTGTTCTACTTCATGGGGTGCTCGTGGAGATTGTGTCTGATCGAGACCCGAAGTTCACGAGTCAATTCTGAAGGACTCTGCACCGAGCCATGGGGACGAGGTTGGAGTTCAGCACCTCCTTTCACCCCGAGACAGATGGTCAGTCAGAGCGGACGATCCAATACTTGGACGATATTTTGAGGGCTGTGGTCTTGGACCGGAGCCTAACTTGGGAGAGTGCCCTTCCGTTGGTCGAGTTGACCTACAACAACAGCTATCATTCCTCGATCAAGATGGCCCCTTATGAGGCTTTGTATGGACGAAAGGTCCGGACACCCTTGTATTGGGATGAGGTCGGGGAGAGAAAGATCATGGGTCCAGAGTTCATTCGTAGGAATTCGTAGGCAGTTGAGGAGATCCGGAAGAATATCTGGTCTGTCCAGGAGAGGCAGAAGGTCTATGCTGATCGGAGCGGCAAGAGCATGAGTATGTTGTTGGTGACCATGACTTTCTGAAGGTCTCGCCCAAGAAGGGTTTGATTCACTTCGGAAAGAAAGGAAAGCTTCGGCCTCGCTATATCGAACCCTTTGAGATCCTTACTCGAGTCGGGGACTTGGCTTATCGGCTGGCTTTACCACCAAATTTGTCGGGAGTGCATGATGTGTTTTATGTCTCGATGTTGCATAGATATGTACATGATCCTGAACACGTGGTGGACTTCGGCAAGCTACAGGTCGAGCGAAGCCTTACCTATGAAGAGGTACCAGTAGCTATTTTGGACCAGAAGGTCCATCAGCTGAGGAATCGGGCGGTGAGTCTTGTGAAGGTGTAGTGGAGCCGACATGACGAGTCCGAGGCGACTTGGGAGAAGGAGGTTGAGATTAGGAGGAGATATCCGAACTTCTCGTTTTGAGTCCCTTGTATTTCTTTTTAGTGGTTAGTTTTCTTTTGCTTTCGAATTTCGAGGTCGGAATTCTTTGTAAGGTGGTAGACTGTAATGCCCCGTTAATTTATGAATAATTTTAGGATTATTTTTATTATTAATATTATTTATTGTTATTATTATTATTATGCTTATTATTATTATTATTATTATTATTATTATTATTTATTTAATGCCTAATTGTCATTTAAATGTCTAAATGTTTATTATTATTAATTAATTAATGTGTGTATTAAATATATATATATTATCCGAATTTTACTTTAATTGTCGTGCGAATGAACCGAGCTAATTTATTGGCTAAGTCGGGACTGAGAGTCGAGCCGAATGTCAAGCCCGTAACCCGCATACCTCAGCCGACCCGAACCGGCGCCCGCCCAAGCGAACCGACGCCCCAACCGACCCGGTTTTTCCCTTGTGCGTGTGTGTGTGTCTTGAGGAGTATGAAAAAGAAAACCTAGTCTATATATGGCTCTTTCTCTCTCAGCAGATCAAACACGCCCCGCAGTCATTCTCTCGCTCTCTAAATCTGCTCTCTCCCTCATTCGTTAAACCGCAGACGCAATCCCTCAGCATAATCTCTCATCTCTTTCTCTCTTGCAAAACCCGATCGCTACCCTTATCTCTCTCGCAAAGAAAAACCCCGCCACCCCTCACCCTCCTCTCACCTTCGATCGTCGCCCCTGTTCCCGTCCTCCTCGCCGTGAACCTGCTCCGCCCGCGAAGCTCCTCCGCCGCGACTCGCCGTGAACCAGCGAGACCTCCTTCTCACGCAACTCCCCGTGGTGACTAGCCGCCGCACTCCGGCGACCCACACAGCAACAACGAGCCTGCCCCTGTCCGCGAGCTTCTCTCCTCCGCAAGCCGTCGCCGCTGCCCTTTCCGCCGCGAGCCGAGCGTGACGCCGCCGAGCATTCGCCGCGAGTCGTCTTCATCGTCTCGTCAACCCGTTCGATCCCTTCTCGCACGTTTCCCGAGAACGGTATCGAGACTTGTTCCCTCTTTCGATTACCTATGTGTTATGTATCATGTATAGCTTTAATGTTTATGTTTCATTGGTTTATAAATATCGTCGTGTGTATGTTGTGATCTTTGGCAATTCAAATGAATCGAAAGAGATCACATTAAAATCGTGTTAAGTTGCTATAGATTGGAACGGTTGGAAGTCCTTGGTCTTATGGTTAAGGCTTCGGATGAAATAAACGAGTTATGTGCCGATTATGAGTTTTCGATCTCAAATCATTGCTGTTTATTTGATAAATTCGTGATAAATTGTGTGCTGCTCCAATTAATGTGAATTTTTGTGTGTGAGGTCCTCTGATGATTTTATACATCGTGTATAAATTTCAGTATTTAATTCCAACTGTTGCTATTTTTAATAATTGTTTTGATTTCTGAACAAAATATTGTAAATTGCATATTAAATCGGTTTGTACTCCAAATTGGCTGAATTTTTAATATGTTGTCTCTCTGGCATATTTACATGTTGTGTAAAAAATTCAAGATATTTGGACTTCGTTTGCTAGGGTTAAAAATTGTTTGAATTGTTCTACAGAACCTTGATTTAATTATGATTAATCGACCTGTTGTTGTAAGTTGCTAAATTTTGGTTTCTGGACTCATTTTATGATGTGTTTGATGATGTAAAAAGATCAAACTTAATTGGGTTCATTGTTCTGCGGTTTTGTTGAAAATTCAAATTATGTAGAATCTTGTTTTAATTTTTATAATTCGTGTGTTTCATGTTAGTAGCTGAAAATTTTATAAGTTAGTCCACACATGCCGTAGCTGCTTGTATTAAAATGTCAAGTCTTAATTCGTTCATTAGGTCAGG